TATATGAACTTGCTCAGAGATCAGCCTGTAAGCATGGCTATACGTAAGTGCAGTCCTAAAAGGTAGCACGTCAGTGTGCCATGAGTGTGTGGATAGTATCTGTGTGCACATGAGCACTGGCACTCCTGGTTGCATATGTCTGAACAGCGGAGGTAGGTGTGAGTGGCTGTACATGTGTGTACAGATATGTGCACGTATAGTGCCAGTGTACACATAGTGTTGGCAGGCATGCGGATGTGGGTGGGGGCCTGCAGACTATTGGCGTATGCAATCCGGGTGTGCACACATGCAGGTATACATACGTGTGTGTACAGGGAGGTCTGTGTTTGTGTGGAGGCCTGTGTACTGTGGTAGAAGTCCTGTAACAGGTGAGCTCACGTGGGTGTGAGTAGGCCTGAGGATCAGGAGGCGTGTGCACACACAGACCTCTTCTCCCTGACCAAGCCAGGTGCTCCCTCTGTCGCTACCTGGAGGGGAGTGCAGGACAGACATACACAGAGCCAGGGGGGCATCCAAGGTGGCAGAGTGGGCACAAGGGACACATGGGGCGTGGGCACCTCCCCAACTTTCTCAGAGCTTGGCATCCTGGCACATTCCCTATGCCCAGCTCATCAGCGCTGTGGGCAGAATTCAGTCCTACTGCAGTAACCCTTCCCCCCACCCCCACCTGGCCTGCCACCACTGCCACGGCCACCACTACCACCGCCAAGCATGAGCTGGGGGGAGGGGGACCATGCTCGGAAATTAACCATAAATTTCTCGAGATGCTTTAATTTTTTAAAAGCCCCAAGTAGATGCTTTGCATTGCGAAAATCCACAAATATTGGCTAAATGAGGTGCGCTAGCAGAAGGCCCAGCCAGGCCCACAGCCCGCCCCTCCCAGCAGCTGGGCCCGGGCTCAGCTGGGGCCCCGGCCTGGCCAGCGGGGCCAAGGGGCCCATCTTTGTTCCGAGCAGGGCTCAGACTGCAGAGTGGCTGGGTAAACAGTCGCCGCAGTAATCGCAGGCTGGTTCCAACTAATTAAATCCTGCGCCAAGAGCCCACTCCAGCTAGTATCCCGAGAGGCCACGAAAACACAGACACCCCAGACAGGGCTTTGCTCCAGGTCGGCTCTGGCTCTCTAATCCCGTATCTTTTGAAAGATAGGCGCGTCCCGGGATGAGGGGTCAGCGGGCCTGCCCTGCTCCGAGCAGTGGAATTTTTCAATAACCAGCAGCTGGGTCACCAGGCGCACAAAGGCAGTGCAATATCCTGTGGGCTTACGCGGGAGAGCTCGAGCCACGCAGAGCCAGCTCCCTCCAGGCCCGGGGCAGCCCCCCCACAGCCCGGCCCCCAGCAGAGAGCCACTTGGCCAGACCTCCACTCCCCTGCCACAAGGACAGAGGGCCGTGGTCGAGGCCTCACTGTCCCCTCCTCCCAAACCCGGCTTTCAAGCAAATTCATCTTCCTTATTAAAAACCAGCCTTGACACTTTCAGGCCCCAGCTGCGACTGCGGGGGGACCTCCCCAGGGCATGGCTTCTGGGACCAGACCCCTTCCAAGGGACAGTGGATGCTCCTTGCTCTGGGAGGCCGCACTGCACAGGGCAAAGGTCTTCAGCTCTGGAGGGAAAGACCAGGGTTCAAATCCCAGGGGGGCAGTCTGCCTGAGGAGATCCTGGCTCTGCCATGCACTGGCTGATGATGACCTTGAACAAGGGGCTCACTTGTCCAGTCTGTGAAATGGGGGTCATCAATGTGAGGTCATCGGTGGATTAAATGAGGCTGGGTGACCAGGACATGGTAGCTCGCTATTCTCTCCACCCAGCCTCAGTTTCTCGCACTGTGTAATGGGGATCAGGCTCTGGGGAGAAACAGGGTTTGTGCCCTCGGGGGCACACACACTGTAGAGGGCTGTCCTTGGCGGGAACCCCGCAGCACATGTGAGAGTGATTAGAAGCTGCAGAGCGCCAGTTGATTTTATTTTATTTTTTCCCAGAGAAACAATAGTTGCCCCTCTCCCGAGTCTGGAATGCTTTCCGCCCAGGGTCTGGGACCCCTCATTTAAATTGGCTGCGAAGGGACAGGCGCTGTGAGCTCGGGAGGAGGTTGTTAGGGATGGAAAGCCGGGGCCCAGGAATTTACAATCCGTTACTTGAGAGGTGTCCTGCCTCCCCCTCACCCCCTCCAGGCCTATGCAGGCCCAGAATGTGCCGTAAAGATGTCACATTGGGTGGGGGTGCTGAGGAGGGATCCAGGGTCTGGCCTGGCTTGGGGGTGGTACACAGCCAGTGACAGAGTCCCAGTGGCACTGTCCCAGCTGAGTGAGCCTGGATTAGAGCCCCCCCCCCCCGAGCCTTAGGACACAGAAAGTGTCTCACCCCCAGTAATGCCAACTGTGAGGCAGGTGATAGCTGAGTCATGGTGAGGTCCCCAGACCCAGGGGACACCTTGTACAGGGACTTGGTCAAGACGGCTCACCTCTCGCAGCCTGTCTATGCCAGGCACGGGCCTCTGAATGCTGCCCGCATACCAAGCAGGAGGCTCTTTGGTCCTTTGCCAAATCACACCCTGACACTGTCTCTCACTAGGGCACTGACACTTTGCAGCTGTGAGGTTTGTCACAAGGCGCACTGTCTTTCTGAGCCTCAGTTTTCTCATCTGTGAAATGGGTAGTCATTTCCCCTGCCTTACAGGTTTGGGGGAAATGGGATAAATAATGCTTGAACTGGGCCCAGAGCCAGGCACACAGCAGGCTCTCAGACACAGCGCCAGTGCAGTCAGTGCTGGGCAGGCAGGGAGCCTGACACTGCAGGGGCACCTCCCAAGAGAAAGGGCATTTGAGGGGATCTGAAAGAGCGAGTGGGGCCGCTGATAGGAAGGGGGAGAGCACAGCATGCTGGTGGCTGGGCATCGTGGGCTCCTAACCTACCGGGTCCCACAAACAACTCACCTCCAGTGGGAGGGTCAGATCTGAGAGCTTCTTAGGAGACCAGTGAGAGCTCAAATGTGGGGACAGCTGTCAAGGGAGAGGGAGGACCCAGGAGTCACTCAGGCTGTGGTGAAGGTGGCTCTTGGTGTCCTTAGGGAGATGAGATGGGAGGAGACACAGGTCTGGAGGCCAGTCAGTGAGGTCAGCCAGTGTCTCCTGAGGCCTGAGGAGTCCTGGGACACTGAGGTGGCTCTGTCCTGGGCGGTGCGAGGAGGGTGAGGGCAAGGCTGGCTCAGGCCCCAGGGAGCCCCGAGAGTCCCCATCAGGAGACACATCTGCCCTGAGCAGACATATTCCCAAGAGGTCATTTGAGATGGTGATTCTCAGGCACCCCAGTGTTACTGGGTCCCCAGTTTCACCAGGTCCCCAGGCTCTGAGACACTCAGTTTCTGCTCTTGGCAGAGTGGGCAGTGGGCATCACTGCCCAGAACTCATGACGACGGTGGCCCAACCTGGCCAGTCAGCGTTTCTGTCGCCACCTCCTGGAGACCCCCAGCCCAGAGCCCTGAGCAAGGACATTCCTTGTCTGAGTTGAACACTTAGGAGCCTCTGCTCGGGCGGCGGGAGGAGCAGGGGTGGAGGGCACATCCCTGAGGGGGACGGCATGGAAATGCCCTTCCACCGTGTGACCATTGGGGGAGGGGAGCAGAGTAAACAGCTCCTGCCCTGTCCTCTCTGCGGCTGTGGCCAGGTACACAGGCCTGTTTGGACAGCTGCCTTGCCGTCCCTCTGTTTGGAAGATGCTGGCTGATAGATGGGGGTGGGCAGAGTCTTAACCCCTCGCTGCCTGCATTGCCGCAAGCTCCTGCCTCCGTCCTCGGGGCACAACGGAGCCAGAGGCTGGTCCTGGCTGCCCCCACCCGACTTCTCTCCAGGGGACACCTCTAGCTCTGAGTCAGGGACAGTGGCTAAGGGACACGGTGAGGAGGGCTCCAGGACATGGACAGTCTGCCCCCCTGTCAGGGAGCCAAGGGCTAGGGGAAGGGTGTCGCTCCCAGTGATGAGCAGGGGCAGAAACGGTCCCTCTGTCTGTCCAGAGCCCTCCTCTTCACCCCACACCCAGGCCCCGGGGAGCCTCCTCTACCTAAGTTTATTAAAAAGCCAGCTGCCAGGCTTTCTCAGGGCTTCGCCTCTTCACAAACGCCAGCTCGGCCTGAAGTGGAGGAAGGGGGGCTCCGGGCCATCGGCAGCAGGCCCCTCTAAAGTGTGAGCAGACAGACATGGGGCTTGCTCTGGCTGGGGCGGGAGAGCGGGCTCAGATCCAGA